TGTTTTTAACGTAAACTTGTGTGTGAATGAGAACTTAGTTTAGTACTCACATGCTGTGACAGCCGCTTTCTGTGCGTGTGCTTCAGATGTGTGCGCTCAGAAAACCGTATATCAGAAGTTTAAACTCATATGGTTTAAAACGCATGATTTCAGTGAGATAAACATGATAATCAGAACCAAATCAGATGATTTTAGCAGGTCCGAGCTGTGCAGCTCTATTCTGGAAAAGGGGGCGGGGAGCAGCAGCTCATTTGCATTTAAAGAGACAGGCACGAAAAACAGCGTGTTTCTGCTTCCACTCAAAATAGACATTTTCAAAATGATATAATAAATGATCTGTGGAGTATTTTGAGCTGAAATTTGACAGACGCATCCTGGTGACACCAGAGACTTATATTACATATTGCAAAAAGGGGCATAATATGTCACCTTTAATGCATGAACTAGAGTGTATCAAAGATACTCAAATAGCGCTTATGTCTATGCAACTTTTGATAAGAAACAAAATCTTATCTTTCAAATTATGTCCATCTTTTTTCAGGAAATTCAAACAATAAATGCGGTTTTGACGCTCTTTGTTGTGTAGTGAGTGACAGATCACTGTATAAATGCCTCAGTTCAAATGGCAGCGTGATCATCCCTTTCTCTTTACTAGATTTAACATGAAATAAACATGAATGAACATCTCATGCCTCAATCAGTGTTTCAACCTGCAGAAAAACGTCAGTGAAACAGCTCGTGAACAAAACGTCACGTAGCATTTCATTTACCTCAGTGTCCACAGCTCGTTAGTGTCCTATAAATGGAGAAATTTTGTGAAATATTAGACTTTATACTCATTATATTTTACTTTACCTGTTAGTGATGTCTTAATTATTTAATGTATGTTTAAATAAATCTGTTTTGAAACGAGTCATGAGAGCCACTGTGTAAATGATTATATTTCAACAACAAATAGAATTTTTTATAATTTAGAAGTTAATTTAAAAACTGCATTATGTGCGTTTGCATACAATTTGTTTATTTGAGTGTTGATTTTTATATAAAAATAAATAGTAGTTGAATTTAAGTTTGGGCTTTGTTGTATAGTTTAGAGCAGAAGCTGAGGTAGATTTTCATCCCTAAGAACATTTTAATTATAATAAAATGTAGTTAATAATTTAATTATAATAAAAAACACATTTTTTAAAGAAAGAGCAATTTGTTCAGTAAACCACTGTTTATAAAAACCGTCATGTTTGTGGACCGTTACACCCCTAAAAGACATAGACAAAAATGATAAAACTGTCAAAAACAACAAAATTACTTAAAAGTGAAAATACAAAAAATCTAATTCAAAATATTAACAAAAACTGAAAATATTTATTTATATATAATTATGTACTGTATATGTGTGTATGTATTTGTATTTATTTATGCAATGTTTTATTATATATTTTATTTTTATATTTTACTTTTTCTGAACCCATTCAATCAGACGGAAAAAAATGACATTTTAAACTAGATAAAAAAGTTAGTTAAGACAAACTTTAGGTTGGCTTGAGAAAGCCTAGCCTGAAAGTTTAAAGCAGTTGTAAAAGCCTGAAGTTAGAAAATGTAGATAGATTAGATAGTTTCTGGCATGATTAGCATGTTACTAGCATGTTGCTAGCATGATTAACAAGTGACTATCATGTTGCTAGCATGATTAAGAAGTTCCTAGTATGTCACTAGCATGATTAGGAAGTTACTAGCATGCCGCTAGCATGTTTATAGCATAAATAGCAAGTTACTAGCATGTCGCTAGCATGTTTATAACATGATTAGCATGTTACTAGTATGTTGCTAGCATGATTAGCAAGTGACTAGCATGTTTCTAACATGGCTAGCAAGTTACTAGCATGTTTATAGCATGCTTAGCAAGTTACTAGCATGTTGCTAGCATGTTTCTAGCATGATTAGCAAGTTACTAACATGTTTCTAACATGATTAACAAGTTACTAGCATATTGCAAGCATGTTTGTAGCATGATTAGCATGTTGATGGAATGATTAGCAAGTTACTAGCATGTTGCTAGCATGTTTCTAACATGATTATCATGCTACTAACATGTTGTTAACATGTTTCTAGCATGATTAGCATGTTGCTAACATGTTTCTAGCATGATTAGCATGTTGCTAGCATGTTTCTAGCATGATTAGCAAGTTGCTAGCATGTTTCTAGCATGACTAGCATGTTGCTAGCCTGTTTTTACATTTTCAAATTATATTAAACATGCAAAATGTTTGCTTCCTAAATAACTCACACCACGCAAAACAGGGAGGTCGTGTGACGACGTAGCATGCTATTGATCAGAATGTTTATCATTGCATTTCATGAACCGGTACATATGCTATATTAAAAATACGAAGCACTGCAGGCCGCAGTTTACGTTACGCTAGTATTCTGTTCCAAACTTCCACGTTTCCTGCAGTTCGCTGGCATTGAACTGACTGGCTTTCGCTGTTCTCTCCTCGTAGCACTTTTCTGTGGAGGGTCAGCTGGAGTTCCGCGCGCTGCTCTTTGTGCCTCGCAGAGCTCCATTCGATCTCTTCGAGAACAAGAAGAAGAAGAATAACATCAAGCTGTATGTGCACTCTTCACCGAGCTCTCCGAGGACAAAGACAACTACAAGAAATACTACGAGCAGTTCTCCAAGAACATCAAGGTGAACAGACATAAGCTTTGTAATCAAGTCAGCGTTGTTTCTACAGCACTTTATACAATAGAGATTGATTCAAAGCAGCTTCACAGAGATAAACGCGAAAAAAATCCATCACTTATACTGTATTAAACGAATTCTATTTCAGCTATAGAGTCATTCAGATAAACTCAGTACAGTTCTTTAAAACAGCATAAAGGTGATTAAATACTGCACTGTATCTTACAAATGAAGAGTTTGGTTCCAAAACGCTATACATCCATTTTGATTAATTTGAGTAAAAATTTGTTTTCTTTAACAAGAAAGTGGCGAGATGAAAACCACTATTTTCTGTTTCAAACTTTCACATAGCATCTTTAGGTTATAATAACATTAAAAATTCAAATCCAGATTTTGATTTTCAAAGATTTATTATAAAATTGTATTATTTTTTTCCCAAAATGCAATAAATGCATGACACTTTTTTTTTTTTCTTCAAAATGCAGTAAATCCATTGAATTAATGCTATAAATTAATTACAGCAATAAAAGAAAATGTCATCATGAACATACATGAACAACAACATCACATTAGAAATTCCAAAATGACATTTCCCTTACATTCAACTTCCAAAAGTGCATTCATCTTTGCCATGTTACATTCATTTAGTTGACTAGTGCTATACGCTGTATTAACAAAAACATTAATGGCATTAATAAAAACACACTGACAAGCTACGCAATATCACGTTCATAATCGAATGCGACTCATCTGCGATTATGAACGCGATATTGCATAGCTTGTCAGTGATCTACGGCTCTGTATATTAAATGCCGCTCCATCTGAAAGCACGTGATGGAGATTTACTATTAATCACAGAACCGGCTTTACTGACGAGATGCGCATGACAATCACATGTGATTTATCGTGCAGCCCTAATTTTTTTGTTTTGTTTGTTGATCACAAAGTACAAAATAGATGAGGAAAACTAGGCAAAATTCAAAGCGCCGCCATTACTGTTTACAGTGTGTGGAATGGTGCGCTGTGATTGGTTGTTACTGTTTACAGTGCGTGGAATGGTGCGCTGTGATTGGTTGAGCGGATATATCGCATTCTGCAGAAAAGGGAGACTGGCGTTTGTCGCGGTTTGGAAAAAAAGGAAAACATGAGAGAATAGCATAAGTAAAATAAAAAATTGACTTTTCAATACCGACCAGATACAATACTGATTTTGGCAGAAACTCAATTTGTTCAAAAATGGCATTTATCGCGTTTTGGAACCAAACTCTTCAAATGTACTTTGAAATAGGGCTGCAACAAACAATTAATCATCAATTATTTCACTGATTAATCAGTAGATTTTTGATTATTCAGCTTTTGCAATTGGCTAAAATATTGAGATATACATATTCTAACGTATAAATATCATTAGCTAGCTCCACACTGGAGAGCTGCATTATAACAGAAAATCAAGTTGTAATTCTACCTGAAAGCGACACTGACTCTGGTTTTTCCAGTTTAATGCTGTAAAGCTGCTTGATTTAACGCTATCTATTGCATAAAGTGCTATATAAATAAACGTGACGTGACTGGACTTTACTGGAGTACTGAACTGCAGAGCTCCTGCAAACATCCACAGCACTGTAATCAGATGCTTTCTTAACTGCTGCTTTCTCACCGCTGTCAAATTTCAATGTGTTCATTTTGTTATTAAGAGGAAAGCGCGCAGCATATATTTCCATGTTCATCCAAACTCCACTCAGCAGCTTTAGGTTCGGCTGTGTTTGCTCTGAAGCGCTGTGTCTTCTTCTCTTGGCTGAATTACAGTCTTGCGCTACAGCGCCACACTGGTCAAACCGCGTTACTGCAGGCTCTTACATTAGGTTATATGAGATCAACTCGACAACAAAAATATTTGTCGACAATTTTTTATTGTCAACGTTGACTAATAATTTCAGCCCTACTATAATTAAAACAGCATAAACGTGATTAAATACCGCATTGCATTTTACAAATGCACTTTAAAATTAAAATATAGATTTTTTTAATAGTCCTAAAATATTGATCCACTCATCAAGTCAAAAACATAAATGTTTAAAAATGTACAATTTTATTGTAAATATTAACTAAAAATAAACATTTTAAATGTTTTGAAACATTTTTATAAACATAAATGTTTAAAAGACAATAGTATCATTCAGCTCAATTACCGATCTTGTTAGTTATATTTATCTTTTTATTATTTTTTTTAATCTATTTTCTAATTCGCTATCTATTTAGTTTAATCTTAGATTTTATTTAAAACAATTTTTTTTTTTACACTGTGTCCCTTAAATTAAATTTTCATGTTAAAAGTCCCAATTTATACTGTGAAAAATCATTATTTGGAAAATATTTCGTTTGTATTAAATCCCCCCCCCCCACACACTCACTATGCTGTTAGCTTTTTATTTATTTAAAAAAAAAAATAAAATACAATCTTATTGCAAATTGTTAGAATATTTTAAAAAAAATTTTATAAACATAAATGTGTTTAAAAAACAACAGCATGATTATTATTATTTTTTTTTTTATATCAGCTCCATCAGTGAAGTGAAGTGAAGTGACATGTGGCCAAGTATGGTTACCCATACTAGGAATTAGTGCTCTGCATTTAACCCATCCAAAGTGCACACACACACACACAGCAGTGAACACACACACAGCAGTGAACACACACCCGGAGCAGTGGGCAGCCATTTATGCTGCGGCGCCCGGGGAGCAGTCGGGGGTTCAGTGCCTTGCTCAAGGGCACCTCAGTCGTGGTATTGAAGGTGGGAGAGAGCGCTGGTTATTCACTCCCCCCACCTACAATCCCTGCCGGTACGAGACTCGAACCCGCAACCTTTGGGTTACGAGTCCGACTCTCTAACCATTAGGCCGCAACTTCCCACTTTTTTTTATTTATTTATTTATTTATTTATTTTTATTCAGCTCAATTCATTTTTAGTGTTGTTCTCATCGATATTGTGAGTGCAGTCAAATTGATAATATTATTGAATATGAATTGTCTTTTAAATGAATAGTCAGTGAACATAAATGAACAATATTTTCCCTGCATACAGCTGGGCATCCATGAAGACTCTCAGAACTGCAAAAAACTCTCAGAGCTGCTTCGCTATTACACATCAGCTTCCGGAGACGAGATGGTGTCCCTCAAGGACTATGTGTCTCACATGAAGGACAGCCAGAAGCACATCTACTACATCACTGGTTAGTAGCTGGCTAATGAATTTAAATATTATTTTAACCCACAGATGCCTCATACGAACCTTGCTCTTCTCCAAAGGTGAGACCAAAGATCAGGTGGCCAACTCTGCTTTCGTGGAGCGCCTGCGCAAAGCCGGTCTGGAGGTGATCTACATGATCGAGCCCATCGGTGAGTACTGCGTCCAGCAGCTGAAGGAGTTCGAGTGCAAGAACCTGGTATCAGTGACCAAGGAAAGCCTGGAGCTGCACGAGGACGAGGAGGAGAAGAAGAAGCAGGAGGAGAAGAAGGCTAAGTTTGAGCACCTGTGCAAGATCATGAAAGACATCCTGGAGAAGAAAGTCGAGAAGGTAAAGATCAATTAACTCCCACCGTACTAAAATGTAAAAAGTGGCTATGTGTAGTTGTCACCCAACTTACACTGTGAATATTCATATGTGACCCTGGAGCACAAAACCAGTCATAAGAGTCAGATATTTTTACATAATCTGCTGAATAAATCAGCTTTCCATTGATGTATGGTTTGTTAGGATCGGACAATATTTGTCCTAACATTTAAACGGCAGCTATATATTTTCGTGCATAAAGACCGATTTATACTGTGAGAAAATAATAGTGTAAATGTATGTAAAATATAAAATATTTTTAATTATTTAGTTTAATCTTTTACACTGATTTTTTTAAACCCCCTAATCACTTTTGATTGCTAACCGACCCATTGATTCCTGCGTCAGGTCACGGTCTCAAAGCGTCTGGTTTCTTCGCCCTGCTGCATCGTCACAAGCACATATGGATGGACAGCCAACATGGAGAGGATCATGAAGTCTCAGGCCTTGAGGGACAACTCCACCATGGGCTACATGACAGCCAAGAAGCACCTAGACATCAACCCCGACCATCCCATCGTCGAGACGCTCTGCCAGAAAGCAGAAGCCGACAAGAACGACAAATCAGTGAAGGATCTGGTGATCCTGCTGTTCGAAACAGCGCTGCTCTCCTCTGGATTCACGCTGGACGACCCACAAACGCACTCCCACCGCATCTACAGGATGATCAAACTCGGCTTAGGTGGGTCCGAGCATTGAAATGCAAGAGATTGCATGCGATTGCAATGGCAAAACCAGCATTTTAATCTAGGCCTGGGTGATAAAACGGTATCGATTAGGGATGTAACGATTAACCGCGAGCCAGTTGAAAATTGATTAAAATATGTGACAATTCAAATCGGTTGAGATGCTAAACAAACTGCGATTCATTTAGGTGTAGGAGTTTATATGAATGCATGTCTGAGGGGAACTTACTGTCTTTAGAAAAGTTTAGATGGTATTTTTTATTTTCATCTTGCCTCTGTATAATGCATATTAAAGTTCATAAACGCAGCTCTGCTTTGTTTACAGCGGTAACCAAGGAAAAGCTGTATCATTGCTGTTCATAAGCGCAGCGCTGCTTTGTTTATTTGCTGTTCATAAGCGCAGCGCTGCGTAGTTTACAGCGGTGACCAAGGAAACACTGTATCATTGCTGTTCATAAGCGCAGCGCTGCTTTGTTTACAGCGGTAACCAA